CTGGCAAACCTGTATGGGATGTGATTCTATTTCTTGTCAGTGTATAAACAATAAAATTAATTCTGTATCATCAGGAATAAATTCAGCAGTTTCAATGTGTAAGATGACTCTTTCTGCATATTGAGAGTCAATAACCATATTGAGGGGTTCTGTGAAATCCATAAGTACCATGAGAGTGGTATATAGTTCTGCCTTTTGTACAGTTATGAGGGCTTTGAACCATTTTACTTATTTCTCATGATTTATGTCCTGCCTTACCTGATTTGTTTGCATCATTGTCAAATGTAGGGATTCCAGAGATTGGTGTTTTCATTACAATGTGTGGAAGGAACCAAGTGGTTTTATTTATGAATTTAACTCTTGACTTGTTGAGAATTATTGTAATTAGGCACGGTGAAGGCACATTTTTCCTTATCCCTTTCTTGTAAAGGTATAGTGAAGAAACAATCTTTTAAATCAATAGTTATAATAGGCTATTCTTTAGGTATCAGAGAAGGTAAGGGCATTCTAGGCTGTAGAGAGCTTCTCAGTTAAATTACTTTATTGGTGACTCTCAGGTCTGTAAGCGTTCTCCATTTTTTTCATATTTCTTTATAATAACAAATACAGGAGAATTCCAAGAGCTTGTAGATTCTTCACAATGTCCAGCAGTTAGCTGTTCTTGAACCAGCTTTTCTAGAGCCTCTAGCTTCTCGGAGGTGATAGGCCATTGTCCCACCCAGACAGGTTCATCAGATAGCTACTTTAAGGGTAGGACTTTTGGTTCCTCTGTAAGTTTGACACTTGTATTCTGTTTGTGTACAGCCTGGATAGTTGGTGTCTGTTTTCTATAATGCCTTAAAACAATATTTTTTCCACAACCATGAATTTGTTTATGGTTCATATCTGATACTGGAGCAATGTTAATCTGAGTATTCCATTGCTGCCATAGATTATGCCTCATAGATTTATTGCTATCAGTCAAATATGGCCTTAGCCTTCCTCATTTCCTTCTGTCCCTATACATTCAACCCATCTCGTGTTCTGTTTTACCTGAGATAAGGGCTTCGGTCTCTAAGAAATGAATGTTTCCCTCCTGTAGAGGCCATCTTGGAGGCCAAGATTCTTGAGTTATAATAGTAACATCCACCCCTCCTGTGTGCATCAAGCCTATTATCATAATGTTATTTATTTGTACTCTTAATTTTGATCTTTTATCAGTTATAGAAGTCTGTCAAAGAATACATTTTTTGTTTCCTCCATGTATATTTGATTCATCATCCAATGCTAATTTGCCATCCAGAGTGGTATGATTTTTTTACACTAGGCATTAGGATTTTCTAATTGTTCTGGGGAGGATTGCCCTACACGGTGATTGGATATGACTGAACGACTTTTGACGTGGGAGCCTTTGAGAGGCCCTACCCCCCAAGGAGTTTCTCCATGGTAAAGGATTTCCTTTCTTATCCCTGGTCGTTCTACATTCATTGGTCTAGTATCAGCCTTTGCCACATCTACATAATCCAGAAGTTTGAGACCTTCTGTTTGAGTTATTCCCATCAGAAGCATTATTTCTAGTAATGCCTTGTCTTTCTCAGATGTCCTATTCTACCACAATTAAAGCATTTGGTATTTTTGTTTGTTTGTTTGTTTGTTTTCGAGATAGGGTTTCTCTGTATTGTTTTGAAGGCTGTTTTGGAACTCACTCTATAGACCAGGCTGCCCTAGAACTCAGAGATCTGCCTGCCTCTGCCTCCCAAGTGCTGGGATTAAAGGCGTGCGCCACCAACGCCCGGCAGCATTTGGTATTTTGATGTCTTGTTATACCTTTGGAGATAGCTTCTGCTACCCAAGCCTCTGTGTCATAATCATTAGACTCAATATTGCCTGTGTGCAAGATCCATTCATCCAGTCATGCTGATCTGATCTTTAAGGGCCAAAGCCCTTTTTTGCATTGTAATTAGCATTCTCATAAGCTAGAGATTCTATGAGTATTCTCCTAGCTTCTGGATCTTCTCACTCCTGTTTGAACCACCCTAGTCAGTCTTTGCAAAAAAGCACTTGTAACACTTCAGTATAGGATCAATTCTTTTTTCCCCTGTGTCTTGAATCCTATTTCAAGCATTTAGAGCTGCTCTATAGAATAAGATGTGTTCATCATATGCAGCTTGAGTTTCTGCATTAGCATAAAGACTCTCACTAAGAATTTTGTCTTGGGGAGCCGTATAATCTTGCTTTTTGCATTGAAGTTCAAGTGCTTTGACCTCTTCTCTCCATAAATCATGCCATTCAGCTTGAGATGCATGTTCAAGAACAGCTGATACTAATTGACCCCAATCCTTATTGTTGTTACCCATGACTCTACTAATTGCCTCACATTTGATGAATGCATGCCATAAGAGGCTACTTCCTTTATACATTTTAAACCTTTCGTATGTATTGGCTCCCAATGGCATTCAACAAATCCTTTTGGGTGTTTTTTAGTTCCTGTTTTTTCAATGGCCATAACGGGATAAACCATGGGCGATGATGTAACGACCATTGGTACGTCATCCCTGACTCTAAAAGATACTGGTAATGTTAAATCATTTTCATTCTCTATGATTTGTACCTCCGTTTTTGGTGTATCAGCCTGAAGGTGTTCTATGGCCTGTAATCTGTACACCATTGTTTCTCTGAGGGAATCTCCTGGACAGCATACATTTCTAGGGACTTCGTTAAATCAGTCAGTTTCTTGTTCTCTTCACTTATATATGATTCTAAAGATTTAATATTCTCATCCTTAGAGATTATCTGAATGGCATGTAAATTGCCTTCCCAAACAATGTACTACCTGCTAGCTTCTGATTAGTCTCAGACAGCAAACAGTTTTTTTTAATGTTAGTATTTCAGTCTTATGTTCCATTTTTTTTCATTCTGTTTATTGAATCATCAGACATGGAACAATTTTGTTCTGTTAGCTGGTCAGTTTTATGTCCCATATTTTGAATTCTGTTTGTTAAATCACCATTACTGTTCTGAATCATTTTTTCTAAGCTCTCATTATTAGTATGTAAAGTTGTATGGTTCCTTCAAGTTCCTTATTCTTAGCTCTATTGTCAAACTATTTCTTTAAGGATATTAATGGATTATAAAACAAATTGCTACCATGAATAATATATATACATATATATACATATATATATATATTTATATTTATATTCCAGGTAGGTCATAAGCCTCTTCTAAAATCCCATCTATATAAGAAACCCAAAGGTTTTTCACTTCCTATATTGTAGTATTATCTGCCATTGCTATGGGTAGCCAATTTACCTTAAATAGATTACGGAAATGTGGAGATATGTGTAATTGTTGGCTCCTAGGCAGCTGGCGGGCAAATTGAGCTGAAGAAAATCTGCTGTGACTCAAAGCTACTTGCGCTTGCCTGCAAATCCAAGGGACTCAAAAGACATAGCGAAGTACTGACTTTTCCCCGGACAGGACGTAGAAACTGTGCAGTCAACTCAGCATAATGAAAAAGCCATGCTGTACAGTCAATCACAAAGCTGTTGTGGGGACCTACCCAAAGCCCACATTGAGTGCTGTTCGAAATCAAGGATATAATTATATCACTAGACCCAAGATAACCCAAGAACCACTGGAGCATTTCCCTGCTCTTCCTATTAGATCCACTTACCCACCAGAAAGAGCATGCAAAGGAAAGCCACGCCTTAAGCTCCTCTCTTCTGCTTCTGTCCACCTGAAGCCACACCCAAAGGGCTGTGACCCTCGTTTCCAGTCTACAGAGCAGATGCCTATGTAGAGCAGAGCTTCAGTTGAATGCTTCTGCTGGCAGTGGGTCCAATGTTTAGGTGATCACTCCATGAGGTGCAGGTGGGGTTATAGATCCAGTGGATGCTCCTCCCATTGGAGGTGTAGATGGGGCTGAGTTGATGCAGTAGTAGGGTATCTCCCACTGAGAAATGGCAGTGAATGCTGGCTGGTACACAGGTGATTTTTTCCAGAGGAACATTATGCAATAGTTTCTGGAAGTTACTGGTAGAAAGCGCTGCTGCTGCTTCACCTGGTGATCACTCCTTGCTCCTGGGGCTGAGGCTAGGGCTTCCCTCTAACACTGCTCCAAGTTCTGAGGCTTGCGGCTCCATTGATGCTGCCCTTGGTCTGAAGCTTGGGCCTTCCTCATCTGCTGCTTCTGGTCTGGGATTTGTGCCTCTCACTGAAGGATCTTATGTCAAATGCATGAGTAGAGACCCTGCCATCTCTTTTCATATCCCATTCTTCATCTGTAGATTATTTTGAACTCTGATATCTTAATAGCACATTGAAAAGCTGAAACCCATTGCAGACTATTGAATATTTTTTCCTATATTTAAAATTTTATATGATTTGTGTGTGTGTGTGTGTGTGTGTGTGTGTGTGTGGCATTAAATGCACATGTGAGTCTAGGTACATTGAAGCCCAAAAGTGTCTATCTGAATCTTTGGATAGATTGCTCTAGGTGGTTCTGAAGGGAATTTTGAAGATGCATATTGATTAAGGTCCCCTGCAATAACAGCACATGATATTAACTGCTGAGGCATCAATCCATCTTCTGTAATACTGTCTATCTGTTTATCAAAACATCCCTCTCACCTTCTATGTTCTACTCTTCTAATGCCTAGTATGCATCAGAATCCACTTCCCCAAAAAGGGAAATAATTTTTTTAACTCTGTCTGCAAACAAAGCTCACTGTTTCAAAAATATCTTATATTTTTCTCTCATTACTCAACTGCTCTCAAAGTCATTCATTCACTCAGATATTTACAAAAGAACATTGCATGTATTTTGAACAGTTTTGTGTTTTAAAGCAGAAAAGAATATTTACATTCGTCACTAAAGACCATTGGTTAGGTCTTACAAAATCAGTAACTGAGTGAACGATTATAGGAGACAATGTAGACAACAGTAGTCGAAATGGTACTGCCAGGCAACATCATTAGATATAACAGTTAGAGTCAGTCTACAAGAAATAGGTCTTGCATTACAATTCAATATTTGGTAGATATGACCTAACTATATATTTTTCAGTTAGAATTATTGAAATACTAGTTCTGGAAGATGAGTTTTCCTTGATATTTTGAAGAGATTTTATTTTTCACTGGTTTTAACAAAATTATGTAGCACTTGGGAACGAAGATGCATCCCAGCATCCCAGCACTGGAAGCCAAGATGGAGAGAATTTCCACAGCTACCATGACCTTACCCTTTGTACTATGGTACACAGGGAGGAAAGTGATCCAGACACAGCAGAACAACAGCATGCTGAATGTCAACAACTTGGCTTCATTGAATGTGGTAGGCAGATTCCTGGACAAGAAAGCCACAGTGAAGCTTGCCTGAGCCAGGCAGGCCAGGTATCCCAGGACACAGTAGAAGGCAGTGACTGAACCCTTGCTGCAGACAATGATGATGTGGCCATGCTCAGAGTGAGCATCAACAGTAACAGAGGGAGGAGAAGCTCCCAACCAGACTGAACAGATAATAACTTGGATGAGAGTACAGATGGGAATGATGTAGTTAGGGCCTCCTGAAACCAGGAAGTATCTCATTCTTCTTCCAGGGGCTGTGACTTTGAAAGCCAGAAGCACAGTAACTGTTTTGGCCAGCACAGTGGAAACAGCCATAGTGAATACAGCTGCAAATGTGATTTGCTGCAAGATGCATGTAGCTGAGTTTGGATGGCCAATGAAGAGCAGAGGGCAGAGGAAACAAAAGAAGAGTGAGATGAGCAAGATGTAACTGAGCTTCCGGTTATTGGCCTTCACAACGGGAGTGTCATGGTGCTTGACAAAGAGCACAAGAACCACAGCAGTTAATGCAGAGAAGCACAGGGCCATTAAGGCAAGAGTCATCCCCAGTGGGTCATCATAGTTCAGAAAGGTCACAGCTTTGTGAATGCACTGATTCTGCTCTATGTTGGCAAACTGGTCCTCTGGGCACTTCACACACTGATCCACATCTGAGGGAGAGAGTACTGTATCATTAGTTCACCTTTGTCATTTTTATTGACAGGGTATTTCAATTCCATGTGCAGAACAAGCATTGCAATGCCTACATTTTGTTGTTGAGGATGTCTTTAAAGGACCTTGTTGAATAGGAATGCTTCCATTTCATAATGCTCATTATTTTATGGGTGACATGCAATCATGTGACATGATATTAGTAAAACACAGATTTTGTAGTGCATTCTGGGGGCTTTGAAGAAATGACTTATATTGGTGAATTCACAGAAGTGATATTCATTAACCACATTTTTTCTGAGTCTTTTTAAAATCCCAGATCCCATGGGTTCAGTGCTTCCTGAGGTTTTGTCACCCTTATGAATGCTATGCCCATGAGATATGGAGACTGTGTCCTCTACTGGAGCCAGAACTCTCATACATTTTCTATTTCAAATTTGCTGGCTAATGAGATACACTTAAGAAAGTGCTCAACATCCCTAGCCATCTGGGAAATGCAAATCAAAACAACTGTGAGATACCATCTTACTCCTGTGAAAATGGCTAAAATAAAAAACATCAATGCCAGTTTTGCTGGACAGGATGTGGAGAAAGAAGAACACTCATTCACTGCTGGTGGGAGTCCAACTCGTACAGCCACTTTGGAAATCAGTATAGAGATTCTTTAGGAAAATCACTCTACCACAGGATCCAGCAATTCCACTATTAGACATATACACAAAAGATGCACATTCATACAACAAGGACATCTGTTCAACCATGTTCATAGCAGCATTATTTGTAATGGCCAAAACCTGGAAACAACTTAGATGCCCCTCAACTGAAGAATGAATAGAGAGAGAAAATGTGGTACATTTACACAATAGAGTACTAGTCAGTGGAAAAAAAACAATCGAATCTTAAAATTGTCAGTCAAATGGACAGCACTATAAGAAACCATCCTGACTGAGGTAACCCAGTCACAAAAAGACAAACATGGTTTATACTCACTCAAATATGGATTTTAGACACGAATCGGGAGTGCCAGCATACAATCCCACTATCAGAGAGTCTGGGAAACAGAACTTTAATCCAGCAATGGATGGAAACAGAGGCCGACACCCCCCTAAACACTGAAACGAACTCCCGGAATCCAGTGACAGGACTGGTTTAACCCACAGAAATAGTTGACCTGAAGAAGGGGGAGCTCTTGGACCCCAGATTGATGTCTGGGTGGAAAGGATTGAACTGATCCAGACCTGAATATGGGTGTCAGTAAGGAGGCCTAGTTAATCTATGGGGCCTCGGGTAGTGTTTATCCCTGGAGTACAAATGAACTTTGGCTGCCCATCCCTCAATGAGGGATGCTTTTTTAGCTTGGACTCTTGGGGGAAGGCCTAGACCCTGCCCTGGATGAAATGACAGACTCTGGAGATCCTCCATGGAGGGCCATACCCTCCCTGGGGATTGGAGTGGAGATTGGGTGGGGGTCTGGGGACCTGTTGGGGGGGGGGGCGGGAGAGGAGGGGAGAAGGAGAGGGAGCTGGGATTGACATGTAAAGCAAGCTTGCTTCTAACTTAAATTTAAAAAAATGGAATAAAAAATTTGCTGTCCAAACGCATTGAAATAAATCAACTCTTAATGAAATCAGCAGGTTGTATATATTTATAGGTGTATATTCATATAAAAGTAATATAATATCTGATAAATTTGAAAGTGATTGGGATTATATGAGGTAAGTAGGAAGATGAAAATGAGAGATGAATAATGTTTGAGAAATGCAAAAATAAGAGATATGAATACAGCCTTAGTTCTATCTTCTTGCAGTAACCATAGCAAACTCCCAAGTCTTGTTCAGAAGAAGCTGTAGCCTATCACTGAAAATAAAAACCTCTGTACATACTTAGCACTAGAACACCCCTATATCCTTATTTTGCCACATTTGGAAACAGACTACATCTTCCTTCTTCCCTAATTTCTATGTCTGTGAGACCCAGACTCTGTAAATGTACTCAATGATGAAGTAGATACTGATAAGCAACATGTGAAAGATATTATAAGAGCCCATAAGACCGAATGTTAACACAGGATGTTATGTTACTAGTACCCTATTTACGAGTTGTGACAACCACGATATTGTAATTGTTCTGAATCACTGGATAATCGCAGACAGTGATAGTGGGCTTCCAATATTTTAAGGGGTTCATCTAGAAGAATGTTTTTATTCAGTTAATTTGTTTAATGGTCTGGGAATTTTATTCAACTGTGAGAGAATGTACTACTCTGGCAAAAGACCTCATTTCAGTTCCCATCATAGTGTCAGGTGCCTCCCAACTGTGTGAAACTAACTGCAGAAGCATTGCATGCCTCTCATCAGCACTGTCCCTGATATGCACATAACCACCAACCTCATGATGCACATATAACCAAAGCAATAATATACTTTGATAATTTTTTTATAAATTTCATTATTCTTACTTTTTTACATTTAAACAGTCAATGATACTTTGCTTAATTACTTTGGAATATATTGTGTGACTGCATGGAGTTCCTACTACCACATGGGTCCTGAGGATGAGCTCAGGTCGACAGTGTTAGTGGCAAGGGATTTAAATGCTGAGCCATCTCACTGGCCATGCATATCCCTTTAGGACTTTCATTTCATTATGTAGGATGACAGGAAAAGTAGTGAAAACCCATTAGCCTACCATATATGTATTAGTCAATCCTGAATAAATAATAATTTGACTACTATGGGCTATATCAATGATAATATTTTTTGAATAATTGTGACTAATTCTGTGACATTATTACTGGGTGAGGTACATAAAATATTGGATATACTTTCCATATTATGTGTCAATACTTATCCCAACTTTCCTAGATTTCCAATCAAGTAGAAACTTTGTTAAGAATTCGCTGGTTATTGCATTAGTCTTCTGTTTTATTCGTGGAGTTCCTGAAAATTGAACAAGTAATTTTTTCTCTTAATTAATCTTACAGAGGAGTTGGATTTGATTACAAGCACCAACATATATAGTAGGGGAGATCCATTGCCCTATTCTGTTCTCTGTGGACACCTATGCATACATGGTATGCATAAACTTATGTAGGTACACATACACACAAAATTATTAGAACTATTTGGAAAGATTCAAGAGCCAAATCTAATCTACATGTAATTTTAGAGGAAATTAATCACTAGGAAAGACTTGGTGTTGTCCACACTGCAGATTAATAATCAAAACTATGTCTTTGAGAAAATGCCACCTGCCATGAATTTACAATGAGTCAAGCTGTGAATCCCAGCAAAAGGAGTTTTGCAGAGGTCTTTCAGAGAACTTGTAGTGATGGCCACACCCCCTTGGGCGTGGCCACAGGCAGATGGAAGCAGAAAGAGGGAAGTCTGAGGCGTGGCTTCCCTTTGCCCTTTCTGTTTCTGGTGGGTGAGCCGATCTGGTAGAAAGGGCAGAGAAGCACTGCTGCGGTTCTTTGTATTTTTATGTGAAATTGTTCCCCAATAAACACCCATTTATTATTTATCTTGGGTCTAATGAAATGATTACATCCCTGCCTTCAGAGTTTTATAAAGGGGCTTATTGATCATATTCCTATAAAGCCTAACTTAGGACAATGATATATTATGTTTGTACAGTTCTCACTTAGTTGCCCTTAGCATCCCAGTATGGAGGGTCAGAGGAATGATCAATGTGCGGGATTTATAACTGCCTCAAATACTCACTTGTCTCATTAGAGATTTCATTTTCTGGGCAGGGGCTGCATTTAAAACAGCAGACTGCCATTCCCTCCTGCCAGAATTTTCTGAATCCAGGACCACAATCAGCACTGCACACAGAGGGCGGCATCTGAGGAAAATTAGACACATGGTGATATTAGAAGTATTTTCTACTTCTTTCACTCTTACATAGCATGATTAGATAATAATACACCAACTGTGTGATCACATTATAAAAGTGCAATTTTAAAAAGACATAGAGATGCCAAATAAAAAATTCACTTTTTCAGACTAGTCTGTCACCCTATCTGTGAAGCGTTTTGTTAATTGTTAATGGGCAGTTTTGTCCCTAAGCATGGTTGTATGATAAAAGCAAGCAGAACAAGCCAATTAGCAGTATTGAGATTCCTTTCTGGCCTTCAATGGACTGTAACCCATGAGCCAAAACGACAATTCCCCCTCAATTTACTTATGGTCAGTGTTTGATCACAGCAACCAAATAGCAAACTAGGAACAATGGGGATCTGAACCAAGGGGGAATATCTCCTAACATGTCAGACAGCAAACATTAGCACTGCAAAGCATGACAGAGTGTGAAGTGCAAGGAGCCGAACAGGCAGAGCCCAGTGGATTTTGTGATGAGGAAGTGATGAATTGATGTGTCCTGAGCAAGAGGGTGGGGTGTTTCCCAATGTGGAATGTCCTACGAAGACTACAAATGCAGGGGAACCTGAATAAATGCTAGATTGTTTAAAGTTAATTGGAGGATTTATTAAGTTAAAAATGGACATATCATCTTTGTATTACCATGAACCTGGTGATGGGCATCTATATGTTCCTTTCGAAGGCTCCTGATTCTTTCTTGCTCACTTTGCATCTTGTGTTTGTGTTAACATCTATGTCAAAACCACAGCTTCTCCTCAGCACAGAACCATCTCATGTTCTCCCCAAATACTGAGAACTACAACGCTTCCTTTCCTGTTGTTGTTTTTTGTTGAAACAGGGTCTCAGTGTATTTATTTCATTTGCCCGTCACCTCGTGCAGACCACGCCATATTTCTTTCCTTCATTTTCGTATGTCTCTTCATTTTTTTAAGCTGGATAATATTTTAAGGATGATAAAGAAGAGTGGAGACAGTGCATGTCCTTATCCATTTTCATCTCATTTCAGTTAAGTTAGGGGGTCCATATGGGTCTCTGTCTTGCTTGAACTCACTATGTAGGCCAGGTTGCCTACAAAAACAAAGAGAGTTTCCTGACTTTGTGTCCAAATAGCTTGAATTAAAGGCATGCACCATAACACACACCTGACTCCATCTGATTTGAATGGATATTCTTTGATTTTTCTTTTCATGGTGTACAGTGCTGTAAATATGTTTGCAACAGAAAACCTTAATTATGTCAAGGTGTGTTCCTTCTGTTTTGTCAGGCTTTGTTTCTTTTGTGGCTTTTGTTTTCAATTTGAATGGAAGTTGGACTTTGTTAAGAGTCCTTTCTATATAATTGTAGATAATAATTAAATCCTATTCTTGTGTTTCTTTGTGTCACATATTGTTCTTAACTTCTGTGTATATTAAATCATGCTTGCATCCTTGGAATGAAGTCATCTTCTGTTGTGTTCTTGAGATCTCTTGGGAGGTGTTTATTCAGAATTATTACATCCATGTCCACCTAAGAGATTGTTCTCTAGATTTACTTTTTTCAATTTCCAATTATAGCAATGCTTTCCCCCTTAATAGAAGGTTTCTCACATATTTTCTCCATGAAGGTAACAAAGGAATGCTTGCTTTTTAAGCCAATTTCATTGTCTGTGCATGTGGATTAGAAAATGTGACCAGTAGCATTCAATACTTATTGAAAACTATTTGTCAACTATTGTCCTTTAATTGCTATTTCAATATTTTATACTGTTCCAATAGCTGATTAACTGTTGTCCCGGTGCTGGCTATATGTTCCTTTGACCTCTTGTGTTTATCTTGCTTTTTATTAAGGAATTCTTCCAGTGTTTTCATGTTTTCATTAGCTAAGCATTCTGTAACAGTTTTTGTTATTGGACTTTGTTCTGTCTCCTTCTATAATTAGTGGTAATTTTACTTGGTGTAGAAATCAGGGTTGGCAGCACATATTCTTTAAGTATTTGAAATATACCACTTTTATTCTCCTCTTTTAAGAGTATTCTCAGTAGAATCTCCTGTTATCCAGATGGAGCCTTTCTATGTCTGGGGCTTCTCTCCTGTAGCCCTCAATTTTCGTTCTTTTTTTTCAAAGTAATTTTAAATAAAATATTTCAAGGGCTCCTTCTTCTCTAATGTTAATTCTTTACTATTTAAAGCACTGTTTTATCTAGATGGCCTCATATAATGCTGTATTGGGGAAACAAAACCTACATTTTACTGGATAAAATGTTGATGAAATTAATGTAGCCTCGTCCTCTTGCACCCATGGCTTGTGACTTTGATCTTAAGTCAAATTGACTTGATTTCCTAGGTTTTTCTTTTTTTGTATTATTTTTTGTCATCGTTTGAATTTTCTACTATTATTCCAGTTCTTCAAGTCTTCCATCCTGTCTTCAATTTAAAATATTCCCTTGATGTGAATTTTAACTGAGATTTTTATTTGATTTTTTTGCTTTACATTTATATATTTTAGTTTGAACTTTTTTTGTACCTTTCTTCAAATCCTTTGTCATCTGATCATTGTGTGTCTAATTGCATGCAAGTTTTTGTGATCTCATTGTTTCTCCAAGAAGTGATTTGTGTCGTCTTTAATTTTTCTGGAATACTCTTGTAAGTATTCTTTTTAAATTCCTTATTTAGAAGGTCATTGAGCAGATTCTCCTTTAAGTCTATGGCTGTAAGATTTGGAGTCGTGGCTTTGATATCTTCCTGTCTATGTGTTAGTTGTTTGTTCCTGCATTGTAAGTTGCCTTTCTGGGAGCAGAACTCTGGTTGAATTGATTTTAATCCCTAGTACTCTTCCAGTGGATTTTTTGCAATGCTCAAGTGAGGTGTGGTTAGAACAGACATGAAATTTCGTTGCTGCCCTCTGAATGGATATGTAGATCAGTAGCCACACCTTCGGCATATATTTTCTTTTCCCTGAGAATGATCCTTCTCACACTCATGGAAAGATCATGCTTGAAGACTTTCCTGAAGTTAAATCCTTTCAAAATAAACCTACTTTGTACTAGGGAGATTGAATTGAATACCTTAAAGCCACCTAAAGACTTCATCCTTTTAATAAGCCATGATGAATAATGGGGATATTTCATTTACAAATTTCCCTCAAACTGATTTTTTTTACTACCAACGCTCCAAATACCAACACACTTTCTTATTAGTTTGAGTGAACTATGAAATAATTAATGGGAGCAAGCAAGGTGTTCCTAGTGAGAAATTTTCTTTTATAGTGTATGATTCATAGCTGGAGACATGACTCAGTGCTCGGTAACAATTCTTGCTCATGAGCAGAAGTCAAGTTTGATTTGTAGCAGCTGCTGTGTGGAACCTAGCTTTTTCCTGTTTCCAGGGACCCAAATAATTCTTCTGTCATCCATATGAACCATACAGACAGCAGTTGCATGCATACATGAGTACAAAACACCCATACCCACAAAAAAGAAAAAAGAAATGAAAAGCCAGGTAGTAATTCAGAGAATATTAATATGGATACTGAAAATATTAATTTATCATTAGAGGTTAAAAGTATTAAAACAAAAGTAAATAATAAAAATTCATGACTTGCATATTTTTAATTTACTCCATCCTAACAAGAGCCTACCTTTTCAACATCTATGCCCAAGATTCATCATATGGGAGGAAATCACTGTACTGTAATCAGCATGGTACCAAGAGAATATTGCTCACTTTATTGAAAATAATATTAAATAATTTTACTACTGGTTTATATTCATATGTAAAACCAGAAATAAGTTCAGATGTATGCATGTTGGAAATCTTCAAAAGATTAATAAAGTATCACATCAACAAGGCAAAAAGAAGAAACATAAAGTAGCAGGCTGGATTTTGGATCATAATATGACGATTTATTACTTTAAGTCACAAGGAAACACAAATGGTCCCACTTGGCAGTGTTATTGCTGTGCAATGGAAATCAGTACAATTTGGTCACACCCACCTGTCTACTTCCTGTGACCCACTCTATGATGTCTTCATATACATGGAGCTGTTGACCATGTGGAAAATATGGGCTATACTTTCCTACCTTCACCTTAAATCTAACTCCATGTGGGGAATTCCAAATCTGGAAAATGTCATACTCTTCCTGTTGTTCTTCTTTTTGGTTCATATTCACTCTGTCCCCAACAGGATTAGTGAAGTGGGTCTTCTTCAGAAATGAGTTCAGCTGAAAGACAGGCAACATCTTATAATGTATGTGTCCTTCCTTGAAATATAAAAAACTTTCTGAGTTTTTCTTAAATGCAACATTATTGAAGGTGACCAGGGGAGAAATATATCGCTGAAAGTAAATGGATTAAAAAATTGTCATAATTTTCCTAGAATTTTAGTTCCCTCAGAGGAGACTGCCAAACACAAACAGAGACATACATGGATGCATACACCAAACAGAGGGATGCAACACATTCACAAACACAAGAGAGAGAGAGAGACTCATATCCATCCAGAGAGCCCTCTAATACTTATACATATGCAAGCAAACACAGACAGGCATATTCATCCAGATGTACATACAAAAACACAGGAAACACATACACAGAACACACATGTACACAAATACAGGGGAAAGCACACAGATACAAACACCAACAGAGAGAGGCATTTAAAAAAGGAAAAAATTGTGCTCACATCAAAAGACAGACAGACACAAAGCATATATACACATGTGTAAGCACATAGACAGAAACATATAAATACACATATAAGCTCATGCAAACACATCCGCCGCCAAATACACACAGGAAAAACAAAACACCCATCCAGAAACACACAGACAAATTTATTATCAATTCCACAGGAAGATAGTCATAAAACATATATATTAACACATATATAGGCACAGATGACCAGAAAAACACATGCACACATAAGGAGTGAGAAACCTCCAGTCACACATATGAATACACATGTACTGATCTGAATCATGTGGGGGAAGAATAAATTGAGAACACGTATGTAATCACTGATTGCAACATACCTGATGATTAGTGTACAAAGAACTCATATAATGATACAGGGTATTCATGAGAGAGGATTAATAATGTTTACAGCATTTGACCAGCAGTGATGATATTCAGATGTTCAATACCAAAATCACTGGTTGTCCTTGATACATTTTGCCTTCTCTTCCATTGCCATTGCACTAGAGATTTCTACCAAACTCTAGATTTACTCCCTCAACATAAAAAACAATTGCCCAGACCCTTTTCTATTTTGGGAAATACCACTTAGTCCATTGAGTTTGGGCATCTAAAAGACTCCTAAAGAGATGACAGTGCTGACACCAAATTTCATCCAGAAGAAAAAATACTACCTTCCAGCAGCTAGAACCATGTCCTTTCCCATTGTCCATCGGCTGAGCATCTACTTGTTGAAGATCAATCTCATGCAGGGCATGGACCACAGCATACACAGCATTGTATATGTCATAACTGTCATCAGTAAAGGCCATGTCAAAAGTCCTCACCAGTAGCCATTCCTTAGTCACATTCAATGAGTAGTTCTTTAGTGTCTGACAGTTGGATGTGAAGACTTCACAGTTAAAGTTCATCCACTCCAGCCTTGCAAGGTATTCATCTGTGTACTTGAGAGGGTTCATTGTCTGGACAAAATTTTTAAAACCAGTAGCCTTACCATGATGGTGTGCAAAAGCTAGAGTCATTTGTGATGAGTCAAGCATGAAGTCTCTTTTGCTTGTAGTCACAGCCCACTGTGAGGTGATGACCCATATTCTCTGTAAACCTCTGGACTCCCACATTCGAAAGCTCACAGCAAGAGTACTGTCTGTGTTACCATAAATGATAACAACTTTTGTGGATGATGTCTTGATTCGGTTATAATACACTTCAGCTCTTGACATGTATAGCTGCATGTTGATTGGAATCATATTTACAAAGGCAAAGCAGATTGTATTTTTTTCCAACTTTCTTCTTAAATATGAGAGAAATTGGGTGCCCTGATCATTGTCTGAGATGACCATCCCTACCCAGTTCCAGTTGAAGTGAAATATGACGTCAACCATGGCCAAGGCCAGAGATGTGTCCTTGGGGGCCATCTGATACAGATAGGGAAATTTTTCATGATCACTCAGTATTGGATGGAAGGATCCGTACGTAAGCTGAATGACCTAGGATGCAGGGAGCAGCATGAGGTACCATCCACTCCTAAGAACTTGTGAAGACATTGTTTTTCTGCAAAGAATTTTATAACCACACCCTTCCCTAATCCCCTTAGCTATTACTTCTTCCCTCTTCTCTATTCAAATGAGGAAATGTCAAAGGCCCATCTGTTTCTGAATAGTATTCATGAACTACATAAATTGATATTAATGTAAGGCTAGTCCCCTCCTAACACAGTTTTTAGTCTCTGTGAAAGGTACCAATGAGGACACCATTTTCATTAAACCCAGCCCATAAAACTCTTACCTGTTGGGATTTGTAGAGGTCCAGGTATGCCACAAGTATTGCAGATGCTTCCCAGTTTGGTCCCGTAAGTGTCACATGACATATGATATCTTCATTACAGCAATAATTAGGGAAAAAACCAGGATCTCGTACCACAATTTCACTGAGACTGTACAATTGAGACAGACTCATGCAATTATCTTCATAGTATTTAAATACTAAAGATTTATTTGGTAATAGATCAGGGTTCCTGTTGATCTCATCCAGGGTAAAAGCTAATGCCAAAGCAAACCTGTAGTTCTCAGTTGGTGTTCTGTAAAAGGGTACAGTGTTTAATATGGACAGAGATAAATGCATGATTATTTGTAGTCAATACAAGGACTATCTTGTACTGAACAGTTTCCCCAACCTCCCTCAAATATTGAAACAAATATCTTCTGATGTGAGGTTGGAAAGATATAGGAATCTGAAAGCTTTCAAAAGCTTTCAAGTCCACGGGGCTGGATTTCCCACAAATGAGATGTGCTAGTGGCAAATTCCACAGAAAACATTTGCCATCTTTGGTTTGTGAATGCTTCCTCAGAATGTATAGAGAGGACACAGGCTTTGACCAAAGAGTTAACATGACCATCTTCATTTTGAAAGTATTGAGTAACATAAAAAACACATGATACGCTTGCTAAAGAGTTCATATTATTTTCTTTTCCTTTCGGGTTGGCTTATTTATTTCCACAATGCACAAAGAAGTCCCGAATGTTTACAATTCTTTACTTGCTTTTTTTTTAAAGAAAAGCCCTAGAGTATCAAATGTTTTTTTTTTTTTAAACTTTTAACTGAATTATTTTAAATTACGACAACGATAGAATGTGTCAGTCAATAAAAATTCCAAACTGATAAACCTTTAGAGAAAGAACGAACCATCACGGGACCTCATCACATTTCACAGCTGTTCAGGCTGTGCAACTGTCTCTAACGCTAGTGCCATAACCAGCTACTCACATTCAGAAAGCAGGCGTTCCTGTAACCTCACACGCTGAGGCCTAAAGCCATGTTTACCAACCTTTTCATTAATCCAAAGACCTTCCACAATGGCAACTGAACTGAAAACTCCAGGAAAATTAGCTAGCCTTTGACAAGTCCACAGTCCTCTGATTTATAGAGCACAGACATCTTGTAACTATACAGCTATACCAACTTATAAGCAACTAATAAATTTTAAATTGTTAGTAATAAAGTTATAAATAGTTTACTTTCTCCTTTACCTTATAATTTTTATATTCATGCATCTCATTTATCTGTTTAGTAGAATATTAATTTCTGGATTTAAATATGAATAAGCATAAAATAAAACAGATGAGTGTGGATAAAACAGCTGAATTTTACTAGATGTCTAAGACAATTAAAGCTATTAACTAGGAGACAAAATCAATCTAAGGTGAACATGGAAAAAGTTGGATTTGACTTTAGGTTCTTCTTAGTTTGACCTGTCAAGTACACATGAACATTCATGGCCTAAATTCTGAATGTTTATGTGCCAAAAACTGTGTCACAAATGGAATGTCATTACTTGAAGAAAGGTCCCTCTAATGCGAAACTTTACAAGATGTGCAATCTGGAGTGATAAGCAATCACATTAACAAAGTTTTAACACCTAGTCAAAAATATATATATGTATATTTACGCATAAATAATAACCTCTAAGGAACTTGAGTGTAAATGACAACCCTATCACCAGAAGAACCTGGGCTAGCCCTGCCGCCGCGCTAATCAAAAGGTCACATCACATCACTTAGTTCATCACTAGACTATGTTCTGTTATCTGAGGATCACAGTAGATCCCACTTTAAGCTGTCATACTTAATGTACTCAAGGTATGTGCAGTAGTCAAGCTGCTCTTAACATCTAAGAGTTAGGTGGCACCAACACCCTTCCCTTAAGCTCTTTAATTTTCACTCACAAATCCAGGGTTACAACTGGCTCTTCCACTTAATCCCTGTCTGTTATGATGGCTGCTGTGTAACTGTTATTCAACATTATGTTTCTAGTTCTGCCAAATAATTCTTATTATCTTTATCAACTCTAGGTTTCTTTTTAGAACTCTGGAACAATATGAACACATTAACAATATTTTTAATTTTGTCTTCCAAATACAATAGAATTTTGATATAGGATGTTAAGATAATTCAGCTACTAGACGATGATCTCCGTTTATATAATACATACTTTACAAAGAGGTTTCACTGAATTTTTCTTTAGTGAGGTGAGTTTCAACTGTTTTAAAAACAGTTAATGTTCTAAACAGTAAGTTAGCTCATCGCTTGTGTGTGAATGTAAAGTATGCCCTTTATGAGAGTATCTGAAGTCAAAAACAAAACATGAGGCAGATGGTTACTAAAAATAAAGATAACAGGTACACTGAGCAATAAGCTTTCACCTACTCAGTTTTCTTATTATTTAGTATAAAGACCATTACTTGACTCATTAGATTGGTCAAGGCAAGACATTTGAACTACACGATAGGATTCTAAAAGCAGTTGGTTTTGTTCCTGATAATCAATCAATCAATCAATCTCTCTCTCTCACACATGCACATGCATGCACACACACACACACTCTCTCTCACTCTCTCTCTCTCTCACACACACACACACTCACACACAGTAGAGTACTTTGGATATTGGATTTCCCCCCATAATCCTGTTTAATTTACTGTTCACAATCTGCAGTGTTCTGAAAACTATATATTAAGCATAGCCAAATTAGAGCTATCTGATAAACTTTTATAAATTATTTGGGAACTTCAGTATTTTCCCCAAGAAAACTAAGGTTAAACTGTAAAAAAAATGAAAATTCATATAAAACTGCAAGCTTAACACACATCTTGAAAAAAACTCAAGTTGTAATTCAATTCTGTACTTTCTCAAACATGACCAAGAAAAGAGTTACAAGTAGTAATGCCAAGTCAAGAAGAAACTATTAAGGGTGGGTTCGGGGATGCTACACAGTATCATTGCATTGCACTCCATGTATATGCAGAATTCAGCATGTGCCAGCAATGGGAAAACTATCTTGCACTGAGGTTTTCCAACGAACCTGCCAAGAAACATCTGGTCTGTACTAACAGCTTGCTGTCTTCAGTACAGGCCTTCATAATGTCAGTCATGCTGCTCTTGCAAAATCCCTTAGTGTAAAACAGTTTTCAGTGCCACAGGTAGGGCTATGACCGATGATGTGGGATTGAATCCATATGCACATTGAGTTTCATCTCATTGGCAAGAATTTGAACAAGTTGTTGCATAGACGGAAGATGACCAGATTCCAGCTTAGACCATACCGGCACATCATTTAACGTTATCTCAAATGCACCTGTTGACATACACTGGTTCTCAATCATGTTGCTCAAGAAGAAAACCATCTTACATGCATAAACCTTATTTTCTTGGCCCCACTGCCAGATGCTAGGAGCTTGCATGCCGAGAAAAGCAAAAGGATCCTTGCCAACAATTATTAAACCTATTAATACTAGTTTGAAGATTGACAGGAAAGATGCTATATGTCTATAAATCGGTTGAGGGAGGTAATTCTCTCCTTCAGTTCGGATGTCTGGATACCGCTGGCTAATAACCCACATGTACTCCTCAAACACCCGTCTATACCCTCAGGATACACATATCTGGAACTTGAGCAGCGGCCCCGTGGCGTACTGCATCTTTAACCGCCAGGTTGGCAGAGGCCTCGTCGCGGGCCGCCTCCGCCACCAGGACAAGCAGCAGGAGCCTCATCATAGGGGGCACAGACACCGCGGCCGCCGCCTCCTCCTCCTCGCCCTATATTATTTCCTTATGAAAATTACTTAATTGGCTAAGGTTGACAAAGAATCACAGATGAGTACGCTATAGTCTTTATGGGACAACACTTGGGTATGGACTTACAGTTTATGATAATTAGTGGACAACATAGTTAACATATACTCTCGTGTCCATCTTCATCTTGCTCTTTCTTTTCTTTCAGGCAATAAAATCTTTTTTAATATTTGTTTTAAAATTAATTCAAGAACCAAAGATGTACTTGGTAAAAGATGTATATGTCTGCATCCATCTGTGTGTTTGCCAAGATTTCGAATTACAGTTTAGTCTGGTCTCAAATGCAAATTAAAGGCATGTGCCTCCACTGCAGTATTGTTCAACTATTTCATGTTTACACAGGCATGTCATATATTCACCCTGAGAATACCTGACCACCACGTTTTTTTCCTACTAGATAACATCTTTTGACTACTTTTGCAGTTTCACTGACACAGCACCAGCCTCCTACTGAGATTTGTACTGTCAGTATTACACATTTTTAAACAAGAAGAATAAAAAGGGTAAAATGTGTGGGAAGGTTTAATTGTTTTGTAATAAAAATGAGCAAATCAGTTGGAAGAGAACATTAGCATGTTGTGTTTATGTTCATGGGAAGAAGAATAACTCATATTTCTTCCTAGTCATTTCATATATTCTGACCAACACACATCAAACAAACTCCTTTGTTCTGAATGATTTACTCAGAGTTAAATACAATCTATTTCCATTTAGAAACTGTATCTTTCTCATGTCTCTGTATATAAAAGAGAAACTTTAAAATATTCCTTATCGCCTCAAAGAAAAGTATTATTGAAATTCAATAAAAGGCTAAGGAATTTAAGACTAGAACTTGTGCAACTGAAATACTAATCTCACCACACTAAAGTTGAGAAAGATTAGTGACTTGGGCTATCATATTGCCTATTGATCTAAAGTGTTGTGTTTTAAGACAGCTGCCTGCATTCCACAAAATCAACATGTGTATAGTGCGTATATTGCAGCTATAATTGGTAAAATATTATATATATAATTGGTAAAAATATTAAGAAAGAAACATAACAGGTAAGTGTGATATAAGTGTCAGAGAATAAACAACTTAGACATAAACAGAAAAGACTCTTAAAAAACAGCAAAGATAAGCTACCAGGTTACTAGCTCCTTTATCCGTGGTCTCAAGTGTTCCTAAATATCATATGCCACAGCTGTCACTCAGGCAAGTGACAAGGGAAGTAACCAGCCATCACTATTTTAGTCTCGGTTTTCAAAGAATACGAAGAAATCATTTACAATCCATACATTCCTTCCATAAAGTAAAGGGAGAGAGGGGAACTGGACGTTGTAAGACTTAAAAGCTAGGGGTGACTCATGTATATAAATGAGCCATGGAGAAATAGGAACAAATATGGACCTCATAGTCAACAGGTCTCCTCTTTCCATTCTTCTGTCAAGTTCAGAAGGCAGAGTGACCACATGCAAGAATTTTGAGGGAATAACTTATTGAAATTGTATGGGTTTTTTTTTTTGATGACACATTACTGGCTCCTGTGCTATAGACAATGTCAAGAGAAGGATCCTTGTGATGGATCATGGTAGAGACTGCTTGCTTCACTCCATCTTGAGCCTTGTAAATGCACTGCTAACTGGAAGAAAAACAGAACACACTGGGCAAACTAAAAAAAATTGCGATATACAAATGAGTCTCTAAAAGAATTTGGAGTCATTTCTTGGTGTGGAGGTTGAGAGAATGAGACAGAAAACTCAAGACCCGTCACGAAAGATTCATGACTTTTACACGGAAAATAACAAAACACTTACTGTATATTCAAAATATTCCGGAAATACTCTTTCTCCACTGACCCCTGCACTGTCTTGGGGAAGAAGACACAACCTGTCTTCAAGTCTCCATCCGTGTCTTCATTCTGTTTCATTTTCCACAAACACCAGGGATGAATGACCCTGGCCAGGGGAAGTGGAATGTTCAGGAGAAAGAAGAGGAAAATCAAAATTAACATCTCTGTCCTGTGCTACACCAGTGCAATGTGAATTGTGAAGTGCCATGTAGATAAGCCCATTAAATGGTTACCCACTTATTCCTACCTGCTTTTATTTCTTGGCCAAATGAGAGGCTATTTTTGAAGCCATGATTCCTTTTCCCCCAGGTGTTTCATCACTCCTGGAGGAGTTCTGGACACTCTTCCCTGGGGCTCTGCAGCTGAGGTTCACTGTCCATATGAAAAACATGGATAGATACGTACATATGGGCATAGTTCAGTCTCTTGTTCTATGACATCACCCTTGTTTGTGTATATAAGGCCCCTGGAAAGAAGACGTTTTGAGAAAACTTGGTCTCAAAACTACCTGGATTTTTGTGAACACCATTAAAAACGATGTCAGTGGATTTGCTTTGATGATTCACAGTGAATCCAAAAGTAATGGTTCAAGAAGAACACAGAAAGTCAGAATTCATGGGTGCACATTGGGCATTACATCACCAAGTGCATGACAGGGTGAGTAAGCCTAATTTGTTTAGCATCTGAGATCCACAAAGTTCACAGTGTGGCCCATGTTACACCAGTGACAAGGAGAAAATATCCACCCAAAACCTGGGCTTTTATTGTGTGGACAACCAATAAGCAGGTCAAATCCCAAAATTTCCTGAATACTCTTGTATCCAAAACTATCCAGTTCATCACCGAGTCATAGTTCATTTACATGTTAAATGTTGATTTTTGAATATTCAACAGTATTCAGAGAAAAAAAACTAGATCTTTGTGCCTTATTTCCAATACTACTTAAGACCTATCACTCCTCCACCCAACCAGTCATTATTAATGAGGAGCTGAACTGAGGATTTGGGTTTCAAACCAAGATCTCACTCACTGATCCTCAGTTTTCACAGACACGCTGTGACGATCAATTTTTTTCTACTTCATCTTTGGTTTCCTACATTGTTTTCTCATTGATATTCCAGTAGTGGCTTGAAGAAGTCTTGGGCTGAGTATCTTAAAAGCAAATAATACGTGTGAAGTGACCCTGTGTTGAATGTGTAAACTCATGGCACTGTCCTAGTCAACTGACTACTCTAGGTTTCATTTTAGAATCTTAATTGTTGGTGAGAAGGTATAATTCTTCCCACTGACTTAACATGGTACTCCATTTCCAATTTTGTCAAGACTTTTCAATGTTCAAACAATAGCTCCCTTTCTTTGTGTAAAATATGTGCATGTGACACACACACACAGACAAGCAAACAGACCAATAGACCAACAGACACACTCTGTTGCATCTAGAGTTAGTGGAAAGCCTTAATTTCCCTTGTTGGACTCAATAATTTAACAGGATTAGTTCCTGTTCCATCACCTATTCCTGCTAATGATATCATTTAATTCTTCCAGGGCTGAGGGCAACTATATTATATGTATATAACCTCTGCATGCCTTTTATCTGACTTCTAATATATCTATTAAAAGCATGAACCCAGTAATATTATTCATTTAATTTTATCTTTTGTTTTAAAAATTTGTGAATTACATAGTATTTATTTTTAAAACTTCCATATAATTGGTTACTTGACAGTTAAAAATCAATGTGTATATATTTAAGTGAGATAATTTGTTGAATAAAAGTTTCAAAATTCTAAGAATGCATTGTAAATAGCAATAATGACTATGTATGTGTGAAGTTAAATAACAATTTAAAATGGTATCGTTTCTTTATTTGTTCATTTGTTTGTGAGCATCTAGGTTGTTCCTCCAGGAGGTGAGTGTGGGGACCCTCTTTCTTTTCTGTCTTTTCCTTTGTGTCGGTCTGGTACCCCTGTCTTTGTTTTTGACTTTGTTCTTGTCTATGATGTCTTCTGCCATTAAGGGAATGGGGAACTTACCTTCCCATTGTCAGTAGCCTCGGGTGAGGGCATTACAATCAATATTGGTTACCAGGTTCTAAGTTGAAGGTTCTAGGATGGCATATAAGGTAGTCATCAAACTCACTATCAGGGAAGGGCATTTAAGGTAATCTCTCCATTATTGCTTGGTTTGCCAGTTGGTGCCATCCTTATACATCTCTGGAGATCTCACTTGTGCCAGATCTCTCCTTAAACCTATAACGACTCCCTCTATTCTGGTATTTCTCATCCTGTTCTCTAATCTTCCCCCGATTTAACCTTCTTGCTCCACCATGACTTCCTTTCCTCTCTTCTTCTCCCCCTCTCTTTTTTCCAATTCTCTCTCCCCTCCCCCTATGCTTCCAATCTGCTCCGGAGATCTTGCCTCATTTCCCTACTCTGGGGTATCATGCTCATCTCTCTTATGTTCCTTCTTGTGTCCCAGCCTCTCTGGCAGTGGGATTGTAGGCTGGCACTCTCCTGATCCATGTCTAAAATCCATATATGAGTGAGTGCATACCATGCTTCTCTTTTTGTAAATGGGTTACCTCACTCAGGATGGTTTCTTCTAGTGCCATCCATTTACCTGCGAATTTCAAGATTCCATTGTTTTTTTTTTTCCTGCTGAATAGTATTCCATTGGGGAAATGTAACACATTTTCTCTATCCAATCTTCAGTTGAGGGGCACCTAGGTTGCTTCCAGGTTCTGGCTATTACAAATAATTCTGTTATGAACATAGTGGAACAGATGTCCTTGTTGTATGAATGTGCATTTTTGGAGTATATGCCTAAGTGTGCAATTGTTGGGTCTTGTGGTAGACTGATTCCCATTTTCCTGAGGAATCTCCATATTGATTTCCAGAGTGTGTGTATGAATTGGCATTCCCACCATCAGTGGAGGAGTGTTCCCCTCTCTCCACATCCTCTCCAGCATAAATTGTCGTTGGTGATTTTTATTTTAGCCATTCTGACAGGGGTGAGATGGTATTTCAGAATTGTTTTGATTTGCATTTCCTTAATGGCTAAGGATGTTGAGCACTTTCTCGAGTGTCTCTCAGCAACTTTAGGCTCATCTGTTGAGAATTCTCTATTTAGTTCTGTATCCTACTTTTTAATTGGATCCATTAGTGTTTTTGAGACTTGCTTCTTGATTTCCTTATAAATTTTGGAGATCAGTCTTCTGACAGATACGGGGTTAGTGTATATCTCTGGGCTGCCTTTTTGTCTTATTGACTGTGTCCTTTGCCTTATAGAAGCTCCTTAGTTTCAGGAAGTCCCATTTGTTGATTGTTGATCTCAGTGTCGATGCTACTGGTGTTATCTTCAGGAAGTGGTCTCTCTACCAATTCGTTCAAGAGTACCTCCCACTGTCTTCTAAGAGGGTTCAGTGTGGCTGGATTTATGTTGAGGTCTTTAATCCATTTGGACTTAAGTTTTGTGCATTGTGATAGACATGGATCTATCTGCAGTCTTCTACATGCCAATATCCATTTATGCCAGCTCCATTTGTTGAATATGCTGTCTTTTTTCCATTGTATAATTGTAGCTTCATTGTTAAAAATCGAGAGTTGATAGGTGTGTGGGTTAAAATCAGGGTTTTCAAATCGATTCCATTGGTCTACCTGTCTGTTTTTGTGTCAGTACCAAGCTGTTTTCAGGACTATACAGGTCTATAGCTCTATAATAGAACTTGAAGTCAGGGAAGGTGGTGCCTCTGGAAGTTTCTTTATTATACAGGGTTGTTTTGGCTATCCGGAGTCTTTTGTTTTTCCATATAAAGTTGATTATTGTTCTTTCAAGGTCTGTGAAGAATTGGGCTGGTATTTTGAAGGGGATTGGACTGAATCTGTAGATAGCTTTTGGCAAGTTTGCCATTTTTACTATGTTGATCCTACCTATCCAAGAGAATGGGAGATCTTTCCATTTTCTGGTATCTTCTTTAGTTTCTTTCTTTAAAGACTCAAAGTTCTTGCTGTACAGGTCTTTCACTTGTTTGGTTAGCATTATCCAAAGATATGTAATGTTGTTTGGGGCTACTGTAAAGGGTAATGTTTCTCTGATTTCTTTCTCAGCCCATTTATCATCTGTATATAATAGGGACATGTCAATTCCAGGTCCCTCTCCATTTCCCTCCCCTCCTCCCATGCCCTCCCACCAGCGTCCCCCCAATATCCCCTCATTTCCCCAGGGAGGATGAGGTCCTCTATGTGGGTGTCCATTGTCTGTCATTTCATCCAGGGCAGGGCCTAGACCCTCCCCCAAGAGTTCAGGGTGAGAGTGCATCTCTCATTGTTGGATGGGAGTCCAAAGTTCATTTGTATACCCAGGATAAATACTGATCTACTACCCAAGGCTCAGTAGATTACCTAGGCCTCCTCACTGACACCCACATTCAGGGGGTCTTCATCAGTCCCATGCTGGATTCCCAGCCATCAGTCTGGGACTCAAGAGCTAATCCTTGTCAGGTCAGCTGTTTCTGGGGGTTAAACCAGCCCAGTCTTAATCCCTTTGCTCATCATCAGTCCTCCCTCTCTGTCACTGGATTTCTTGAGTTCAGCTCAGTGTTTAGCTGTGGGAGTCTGCCTCTTCTTCCATCAGCCACTGAATGAAGTTTCTGTTTCCCAGACTCTCTGGCCATGGGATTGTAGGCTGGCACTCCCCAGATCTATGTCTAAAATCCATATATGAGAGAGTACATGCCAAGTTTCTTTTTTTGTGACTGGGTTACCGTGCTCAGGATGGTTTCTTCTAGTGTCACCCATTTGCCTGCAAATTTCAGGATTCCATTGTTTTTTTTTTCTGCTGAATAGTACGCCATTGTGTAAATGTACCACATTTTCTCTATCCACTCTTCCGTTGAGGGGCAGCTAGGTTGCTTCCAAGTTCTGGCTATTACAAATAATGCTGCTATGAATATAGTGGAACAGACATCCTTGTTGTATGAATGGGCATCTTTTGGATATATGCCTAAGAGTGGAGTTGCTGGGTCTTGTGGTAGGTAGTCCAGGCTGAGAGAGCATCCCTCTTTGTGTTATGGACACACGATGTCTGTTTGTATTCGAGGAATAAACACTGATCCACTGCTCAGGGCTCCAAAGGTTGCCCATGCCTCCTCACTGACTCTCACA